CCTTAGCCGGTTGAGCTATAGGCGCCGAGCCTGTATCATTCTTTCATACGTCAGATTTACTTTATAGCCTTTGGATGTCTATGATACTTAATAAAGTTAATGATATTTAAAATAATTACAAATTACAAAATTTAGCATAGGAATTACAGGATACCTGTTCTTGTATTCCTGAAAGGAAAGTGCTTTTTTGGAGAAAAGGTAACTCATAATGAGTTCTACCCATGACTCAGATTACGATTTAAATTTCCTTCTGTTAAAGGTTTTTCTCCCCTCCCCCCCTTTCTCTTTGCTCCGCTGCTCCTCAATTTGTAGGAAAGGTTTGAAGCACTTTTTACCATCTACGATGACCAAGTTACCTTTCAGTTGTTCAAAAGCTTTCGGAGAGTCAGGATAAATTTCAGCAAACCAGAAGCCGCAGCGAGAGCTCGAATAGAACTCCACGAGACAGACTTCAATGGGAAGAAGCTGAAGCTGTATTTCGCACAGGTACTTCACAGGGCAGAGGATGCTGTTCCCTAAACTCGTTTCTCTCCATCAAAAAGTATTTCTAGTTCTTCATTTTCTATATAATCAGGTTTTTAGAAGGAATCATCCCAATCAGCAAATAATATAAACATATTTTTCCTTTATTTATAGATATATAATTTTATTAGTTAGCATATTTACCCTTCTCACTTGGTTTACTGAGACTTATTTTTTCATCTTAATTCACTTTTCAGTAGCTTGGCTGAGCTAGTGTTGTGTGTGGGTTAAGCCCTGATGCCTCGGGCTAGTTCTTTCCTGCACCTAGTAATGGTATACGTGCAGGGGTACCTGAAATCCTTGGGAGAATTGAGAAAATAGCCTCTCAGATAATTTTTTGTGTTCGTAATTCATATGAGGAGCCCCATGGAAAATGGCTACTGGACCAGGGATTGGCCAGGGAGGTGGCATAGAACTGTACAGAAAGGACACATTAGACTCAATTGTAGAGGATCCTGTGGGTTCTAAGAACTAACTCTGTTTATGTTCTAGTCCTGCATTGATGTGATGCTGACCATTTTTTTCTCCAAAGAACTATTAAAATAAAGACATCAGATCTCTATTTGTGTGAAGTGCACTGTTTTTTTTTTTTTTTTTAATTCTCCCCTCCTTGGTCTTAGTTACATTCCCAAATGAAATCTAAATGAAAGAGATGTTTGCACATGTGGCAGGATCCCTCGAGATGGAGGATAAAATAAGATGATGTAGACTAATCTCTTCTCCCAGAGCAAAGTATAGTAACTACTGCGGTTCATTTCTCTATTCATTCATGTTTTTATTCAGCTATTGTTTATTGAGCACCTAGTGTGTACAGCCACTGTACTGTGTGCTAAGTGTTCAGTAGTGAATCACACAGACCCAAGTCCTCCCTCTTGGAGACCACAGACTGTTTAAGAGAAGTTTTTAATTTTCTCCAAAAAGAGGTAACAGTTAACTTAGAGATGAGAATGAAGGAAGATAGCCCAGTTTGCAAACTGGTTTTGAGTATCTTGTTCCCTGCAGGTGCAGATGTCTAGTGAAGCTCGGGATAAGTCCTATCTCCTGCCGCCCCAGCCTGTCAAACAGTTCCTCATCTCCCCTCCAGCCTCGCCTCCAGTGGGGTGGAAGCAGAGTGAAGATGCAACGCCTGTTATAAATTATGACTTACTCTGTGCTGTTTCCAAACTGGGACCAGGTAACAAACTTCTGTTTTTCCCCCAAGAAACTCAGCTGTTGCAGACAGTGTGCATTGTGACAGAAGGTAGAGGGTATAGTCACACACGCCTGGGTTCAAATTCCAGCTGTGGCATTTGCCAGCTCTGTAATCTTGAGGAATTTACTTAGCCTCAATTTTCTGAACCCTGGTTTTTTCACCTCTACTTAAGAGTATAGATAATCATAATATCTGCCATTCAGTGTGGTTATAAGGATGAAAAGATATATTTATAATAACAAATATAACTGCAATTTTTATTCTAGTATCCAACAACTTTTTGTTTTTTGTTTTTTGTTTTGTTTTTTTTAAAGAGATTGGGTGTCACTCTGTCACCTGGGCTGGACTCCTGGGCTCAAGCAGTCCTCCCATGTCCTCCTCTCAAGTAGCTGGGATTACAGTCATGTGCCACCATGCCCAGCTAATTAAAAAAAATTTTTTAGAGACTGGGTCTCACTCCGTTGTCCAGGCTGATCACCTCAAGCCATCTTCCAGAGTACTAGGATTATAAGCACGAGCCTCTGTGCCCAACTGATAACTACTTTGAATATATTTCAAAGAATTGGTGTTGATATATCATCCCTTCCTCATTTTTCTCGTTACTTTTTAAAAATTTTCTCCTATCCCTTCTTTTTACTTCCTCTACCTCTCCTTTCCCTTTAAAATAATATAAGAAACTAATGGGCGGCGCCTGTGGCTCAAAGGAGTAGGGCACCAGCCCCATATGCCACAGGTGGTGGGTTCAAACCCAGCCCCAGCCAAAAACTGCAAAAAAAAAAAAAAAGAAAAGAAAAGAAACTAATGCCATTCTGGTTCAGACTAGTTGTCCACCCATAATAGTGTTACATCTCTTATAGGGGATACAGGAGGCATTTTGAGCAGAAAGTGGCTTAGTGGTATGTTTAGGCATTAGAGCTGAATCTTGGATTTCTGAGGTCCTGTGATAAAAGGATCGCCAGTGCTGTCTGGATCCCTACAAGTATACCCCAAGAGAAAACTAAAACCATTGTGAAGTTAAGCAGATTTACTCGTATTATTCCTAAAACAGCAATTAGCATTTACATTTTAAGCTCCCAAGACTTCAAGTACTAAAATAACAAAATTTTATAAGAGTCTTTAACATGTCAAATCTCTAGCACCACCACAAGATTAAATACTCTGACATAGGATTTAAAGATTTAAAAAATATGGCTCAGCACCAGTAGCTCAACCCTGTTAGGGTGCCAGCCCCATACACCAGGGCTGCAGGTTCAAACCTGGCCTGGGCCTGCTAAACAACAATGACAACTACAAAAAAAAAAAAAGTAGCCTGGTGTTAGTTTGGACTTGTAGCACAGTGGTTACGGCGCCAGCCACATATACCGAACCTGGCCTGGGCCAGCTAAACAACAATGACAGCTGCAACAAAAAATAGCTGGGCATTGGGCAGGCACTGTAGTCCCAGCTACTTGGGAGGCCGAGGAAAGAGAATCACTGAAGCCCAAGAGTTTGAGGTTGTTGTGAGCTGTGATGCCACAGCACTGTACCAAGGATGACATAGTGAGACTCTGTCTCAAAATAAATAAAGATTTAAAAAATAGCGACAATTAAAATCTGAGTAGAGCAAGAAGTTTTAAGAGACAGAACGATCTCTTTGCTGGAAGCGAGGCCATGGTCCTTCACTTGTTTTGCCTCCACAGGAGAGAAATACGAACTTCACGCAGGAACTGAGTCGACACCTAGTGTGGTGGTGCATGTCTGTGAAAGTGAAACTGAAGAGGAAGAAGAGACAAAAAACCCCAAGCAGAAAATTACCCAGACACGGCGCCCTGACCCTCCGACTGCAGCACTGAATGAGTCCCAGACCTTCGACTGTGCGCTGTGAGGCCTTGGCTGAGGGGCAGGGCAGCTGCCCTTGAGGGTTTCGGCCATGGCGATCAGCGTCCCTGCTGCTGACACATCACGCTGCTGGTAGCGTGGGTGAGACTGGGAGTGAGTGCAGCTCAGGGTCCTTTCTCCACACCTGTCCTGCAGACATGGTGGTAGAGAGTAGCAGCACATTTTACCATTCAGAATTTTAAGGCATATTCTGATGGCACTTTAAATTAATGGTTCAGCCCCCTAAGATGTGGCAACTCTCGACCATTTTCAAACAGTAGCAGATTAGGAAAATGGCTTCCCTTCCCCTGAGCAATGTTAGTTCCTCTGATTCTGCAAAATGTGGGACACCCCAAAACTGGAACTGCAGTCACCCAGCACTGTACCATTGTCATAAACTTAAAAGTAGTCTTGCATTTTTCCTAATCCAGTGTAGGTGTTTTTGTACTGGTGTAATAGCTTCTAACTAGTATATTGATCCAAGGTGTTTATGCAATATACATGAAATATTTTGCACAAAAAGAAACCTGAAATACAGAATAATTCATAGAAATCATTTTTCTCAAGTGTTTCATTAGCTTTGGGGAAGAAATGCCAAACCCACTTCAATGACCAGAGTCAGGTGACACAGATCTGTGTGCATGCTGTTCTCTTCCCTGTCACTCTTACTGGGAAGGTGGGGGAAGGTGGCGAGCAGGCCACGGTTCCTATTGCAGCGTCCCCTCAGGCATAGTCTGCCCGGGAAGGGCTGCTGCTTCGGAGGCGGGCCCTGTCACCAGTAGGCCTGACTGATTTCAGAGGGCTGCTGCACTTTGCTGTTTGTGACCATGTGCTGGCCTGGGACACCAAACTGTCTTCCCTTGCCAATTTTTAGCCTACTTTTCTTTTTTAATGTTTGTCAACCACTTATTCTTAAGTTTTTCTGTGGTCTAGATATGTTTATATATGTCACGCATAGACTTTAAATTGGAAAAGGTAATGATCTTCTACCTGGATGTCTTCTGAAGACCATTTTTACATTGTCCATTTAGACATTTTCCACCCTGCTTTGAAAGAAAAGTCACACATACTATTTTTCTATGAATTAGGGAATGAGGGAGAAACCTGTCTAGTCATACTTTTCTTTTTGATGAAATTTTTTACCCTGGCTTTACAGTTTATATTTTTCCCAGAACAGAACTGTTTCTCACATGTGTTTCAGAATGCATACTTGAACCTCCTAAAGTAGAAGCAGCAGCAGTGTCTTTGTAACTCTTTGTGGTCTTGTGGTCTCTTCAGACTTTGAAGTCCCTCTTCTAGAAGAATCTCGCCCCGGAATGCTTTGCTTCGGGTGAGTCTGTGCTCGTCTCTACTCATTGTGCTGTTCCCTTGTGTGGCCACTGTCTGGAGCGCCCTGGCCGGTTTGTGAAGGAGTTGAAAACATGCTTAAGAACTGATGAACCCTTGTGGCTGCCACCACAGAGCAAGAAAACGCAGACATTCAAGCCATGATATCTGTACATTTTTGGTAACAGGTTACTATGATTTAGTTCTTATGGTGAGATTTATTTCTGAGCCATTGAACTATATTGTGCAAAAAAAAAAAAGTTTTTCTCCATTTTTCTTGGTCTGAATAACTCAAGGTGACAGACTCTTCCATTTGTATCTTTGTATCACTGCTAAGCCTTCATGTAAACTCAGTTGAATTTGCAGTTCCATCCATGATCAATTTATTTATACTATCATTTGTCACTTCGACAGCCACTTAATAAATACACTTTGCAGTCTGAAGTCAGCATTTTACCCGTTTTTCTTTTAAAGCCAAATTTTATTTGAATTTTTAAACAATGTTTAGGAAACTTAAAAGTTCCAAAAGTGCAAAGATTACGACGTTCACTATTCAGTTACAGCCGGGTGCTGGCTACTTTACTTGTTTTTGTTTGTAGGGGAGACCCTAAATTTCAGGAAGCATATGTATCATCAGCAGTTGGGAATTTTTTGTATTTCCCTTTAGGTAATACTTATTCAGCATAATTTTCTAAGTGATCAGAACCCACGATGTTTTGTTATCTGACTTGGTTTTCCTTCTCTACCTGCCGGTTGAAGAATAGCTCATCCCTAACATGTAAAACACTTTTTTTAAAATGGTGTTTTGTGATAAGAAAAAACATATGCAAAGGATAGGAAAAGCAGAACAGCAGGGGTAGTCGACTGAACCTGCACTGCATTGGATCGTATGTTGTAGATATTTTTTTCAACATACACACCTGATGAAACCCCAAGATAAATCCATTTTAAAAGGATTCTAGTGAGCATCTGCTGGGTTTAAGGTGCTCAGAGGCAGGAATGGGTAAGGCCACTTTCCTTACCTCTCCCTTGGAGAACTGACCATCGGGTGGACAGCAAACTAGTGTTTTCACATTCTGCTTCTTCAAAGCTGTGTACGTGAATACTTATCCAGAATGAAGAGCCAAATCAAAGCTCTGAGGAACTTTCAAGTTCAACACAAAAGTTTAAATAGAGCATGGTGGTCAATTATGAGATGTTTGAACTGAAGAGATACCAAGAGATGAAGGTGAGGCACAGTGCTTTTATTTTTTAAGAATTCGGTCTTTATTGTGTGCTAGTCACATTAATTCTGTCTTTTAAAATGTAAAAAGATTTGGTTTTCTTAGAAGCTCAGTAACCGGGCTGAAGGTGACTGTGAAGATTGTGTAGTCTAATCCTTGTGCTATATAGATTAGAAAACTAAGGTTATGGGACTGATTTCAGAGCCCACAGAAAGGCAGCCCAGACACCGGAATTGGTGTTCCCAACTCCTGGCTGGTGCTTTTCCTACTTTTTCTTGCATTGTACTCTTAAAGGGACAGTGAATACTAATCCCTGTCAAAAGGAATAAAGGTGGTAGGGGGATTCTTTTTCTCCTGATGGGATACAATGAATAAGAAAGAAATAAGAACTATCTTGCTTGATGAGGATAGTAACTTAGTAATTTTAATGAAGTTGATGTTCCATGTTGTGTGATTTTTTAATTATCGAACCACTGAGGGTGGAATCTGCCTAAATAATTTTATCTTGGTAGCCAGCAATTTATGTTGGCGTTTTTTGGTGGGCTTTCCCAGATTTTCATATTAATGAAATTAAAACATTAATAGTTTTACTTAAGCTGTAACTCTAATGAAGTAGAATGAAATCCAGTCTGATTTGAAAATAAAAGTCTCCAGTGGAGCGACAGTACTGGTAAAATTGAGTTCTGTTCAAGATCGAAGACTGATCTGTGTTTCGTATTTTTATATAAACTCTTTCACACACCATAGATTTATTTTAAAAACGGAAAATTTCAAACATAATTAACAGTGGAAGATGGACTACATTCTGTGGTGTGTCAGGTTCACTATTCACTGGAGTTGTAGCCCTCATACCTGCCATACCAGTGAACTTGGCCATCTTTCCCTCTTCCTCTCTGTGTGCTCCTTTTGTGCACATTTGCATTTATCTATATCTTCCTGTAGTAAAGAAAAAAATTACTTATAAGTCATGTGACAATATAAAGGAACAAAAGACTTGGGGGAAATAGTTGCCTCTAGCTGGGGTAGTATACATTATAGCAACTCATGGGTTAAAAGTTAAGTCAATGTAAAGAGTAAGACTTATCAACGCT